CTGAAAACCCTAGCTACGACTCTGAATCAGATGGTGGGAAGACTTTCAGATGGCAACTGATACTTCCAAGATCCCGAATTAACGATGTCCTTAAAGAACTACATAACAGCCGTAAAGGAGGCCACTTTGGAATGAAGACCTTGCAGAGAGTTCGTGAGCGCTTTTACTGGAATAATACAAAGGATGACGTGCAAAAGTGGTGCCGATCTTGCGATGCCTGTGCAGGTCGGAAAGGACCGAAGAGAGGCAAGCTGCAACGTAGGCGCGCCTTTTGAACATATCGCCTTTGACATCTTGGGACCTCTGCCACGAACTGCTGACGGCATGCCAAAAATTGTTGCGTGCGTACGGGCTCGTTACGAAAGGAATGCACGAGTCAGATGAAAAATGAACAAAATTTATTATTATCACAACAAAAATGCCTTAATTTTCTCAGATATTCGTACAGTATTACAATAACTCAAAGTAGTTATCTTTTAACTACTCAAATGTTCAACAGAACTTAATTCAAAACAGCTAAAGAAAGCTAATCCGCGAATTCGCTACAGTCAACAACAGCAGTTTTCTAAACAAACTCTTAAAACAACAAACTAACTAATCATAATAGAGTTGAGAAGTTTTCCTCCTTTTTATAAGATTTTTACATCGCGCGCGAGTGTTTTCTAGTACTTTCTAGAAATCAAAAAGCGATATTTATTTATTAAATGTTAAATGCACGTGCTCCTGTATTTTCAATTTTCCGGCTTAGCTTTCCATTAATATTCGTCACGCGCTGCACTGCACGGGGAATAAAACAAATTAATTTATAATTCTACCAACATTAGCTATTTAAATACCAAATCCGTAACACTATGATATATTTTTCCATAATGGTAAATCCATAAATTTATAATATGTTGTTATTACAGTAGACAGATAATTATATCTTCCATGGATTTAAACTAATAATAATAGATAATAACAGATAACTCTGCATAACCAATCGGACATTAAATTTTGATTCAATAACAATATTTTTTCAAATTATCGTTATTGAAAAATTGCAAACTACGAGATCTCTGATTCTCCTTTGAGTTTCAGATAAACAGGATAAAATAAATAATTTGTTATTAGGAAAATAGTCTTGAAACATTGTAATAGAGTAATCGTATTGATGATCGTATAGATGATAAAGTTATTACTTTTAATGTTTACCTAACTAGTATAATTGATAGCGGAATAGTTCTGTTACTAAAAAAAGAGTAATCATATTGAATAAGAGTAATTGTATTGTTTTATAGTATCATTGTGTTAACTGGTTTGGTATGATTAATCATTGTACTTAGTAAATGCATAGAATCACTGTACTAAATTATTATATTTTAGTAATCATAAAGAATCTTCTATTGAATCACTGAATACTTGTATCGTAATCTTTATACTTCAGTAATTGCATATAATTATTGCTTTGGTACATGGTCTAAAGAAGCAGTATAATATCACTGTATTGCATCATTGCATTATTTATAATATTCAGCGTGCAAGGTAAAACTGTACAGTACATAATTTATAATTAACTGCTTTCAAGTAACATGTAGTATCATTGCTGTAATGATTAATTAATGGTGTAATTTAAATGTTTGTGTCACTTGGGTAGTGAGGTTTATAATATAAATGGTATTTTTATTAATTTGAGCAATAATATTTGAAATTTTGAATAATTATATAGATTTTTGTTCTAATAAGTGCATAGAATTGTTGTATTGAATCATTGCATTTGAATAATCGTATAGAATAATAGTATTTAATTATGGTCAATCGTACTGTATCATTGTATTGAATTTTTTATTTGTATAGTATTTCCAATGTGCAAGTAAAATTGTACTGTACATATCTTATTACTGAATTGCTTGCTAGTAATATGTAACATCATTTCAGTAATAAGCACCTATATGAAAAAAATTATTATTTTGATGTCAACATGGCATATATGATTAATAATATGAATAGTATTATCATTAATTTAAGTAATAGTATTGAATCATTGTATATTTATAGTGAATCATTCTTTTAATATTCGCATATAATCATTGTTTTGAATCATTGCATTTTAGAAATTGTATAGAATTAATGTTTTTATAGTGTATTTATAGTCTAAGTGCAATTATTCATTTAGCTGTATTAATATCCAATTTTAATATAATAACTGTGTCTTTAGTAGTAAGCTGTAATGTAAAAGTTAACAATGACATTCAGAATAATTAGAGACTTATGTGAGATCTAAGCATTTTTATACTTCTCCACTATAAAAAGTTGGCAATGTATGAAATATAAGCATTTGTATGTTCTTCGGTTTTTGTATACTGAGTTTAAATGTTGAATTTCGCATTAGTAAATTCATGTTGACAATGTCGTCACTTATCAATCACAACAGTATAATATAATCATTATGTTTGATATATCTTCTTTATGTATTTAACTGTAAGCTTTATATGTAACTTGCTAAAATTACTTGCTATGGTACTGAATTGTAATCTTATGTGTCACTTGCTAAAGTTTTGTTCATAACTCATAAGTACTGTATTCACACAGATGTAACCATTTTTAATATCTATGTTTTGCAACTTTAATCAATGTGCCTATGAGTGGATCTCGTGTAGCCCTAACATGAGTCAGCTTTAGATAAGGGTGGACATGGCGCTAAACCAATTAACCATAATCGTAAAGTGGTGGTGCTCACGTCCTCCGTCACTAAACTAAACTAAACCAGGTTAAACACTCGTTAATCTGGTAGGAAGTAGGAGCATTTTACCAGAACCAGGTTAAATGCTCCTACTTCCTACCAGGTCTAATTCGTTGTTCAGCTAATTACTAAGTTTCACAACTAAACTACCGGTATCTGTATCGGTAAATTATCCTGCGATATTGGGAATTTCGCAATGTGTCCGGCTCAATAAAAATGTTAGCCTAAGAGGGCACTTCACGTAAAAATACACCAAGTGAGATTCCCAGAAGAGAAAATTTAAAAAATGTGGAAGAGTGGAGAATATTTCCTCCTAAGTTTGAGATATCAAACTAGAGTCCTAATCTATTGGAATATGAGATTAAAGTCATAGTAGAGATAAAAATGGATACACTAAATACAAACAGAAAATGCAAATACAAACAGAAAAATAACTATGAGCAATATATACAAATACATATGTGTATAGTTTATGTTGAAAAATTTAAATCTCTTAGGGAATGTGCAGCATAAGGGCGTAATTCTTTATCCTCCTATAGATTTTCGTATTGAAACAAGTTAAAATTCGTGAGATGGTAACAAATGCTAACTTTTTTTCGTAAAAATTTCTAAACCCCACCAGCGTCCGAGCGGTAACATCGCTGAACACTGGTAGTTCGGTCCGAGGTGCGAATTCCGCGAACGGGCTGGCTGCATGGGCGTTTTCATGGTTTTATCCATGTGTAACGCGTATACGAGCCAGTTTGCCTTAGAAAGTCATCCACGAAGGCATCCTTCCCCTTAGGCAGATAGCCCTAGTGTGCTTTACCATAATTAAATAAAACAAACCGTAGAAATTTCTATTGATTTTGTTGAGAGACTTATCAATAGTTTAAATACACATAGAAGTCTGCATTAGTAGTGATGCGCAAATATTTGCTTTGCCCTTGTTGGAGTTTGAGAAGGCCATTTTCGGTAAGAGTAGTCCAAGCCGATGAAGCATACGTAAGGGCTGGACGCATAATTCACTGAACTCGTCAGCTCTCCGACCCGCATTTATAGTCTGGAGCAGGGGCTCTAGAAAAAGAATCAGCAGTAAAGCTTGGAAAATGGTTTTTCGCGTTTCTTCCAGAAAGTAGTCGAGTTGGCGAGAAATCGCTAAATGCCAACTTGGAGGCTATAATTGTCTCCGCCCCTCAGGAACAAATTTGTCTATATCTCGAGTTCTAATTGATCTATTTTTATAATTCCAAAACAGTTGCATTCAGAATTAAAGATATGTAATTTTATGCAACATATAGACACTTAAATACTTGTGACCACGAATTAAATAAAACACGAAATAAACTATAAAATAATATAAAATCGATGAAAAAATAATTCGATACTTTTCCGTTTCGTTTGCGCAAATCTCGTCAAGCAGACTTTATTGGCGACAACATACAGTATACACATAAAAAATTTTAGCAAATGTTAGTTCTAAGAATTTTTTATTTTGGAGGCACAAACATTGTAATATCCTTCAAAATTTTCTAAAATGCCAATAAATAAAGACAATAAATTTGTAAAAATACAATAATTGAAGAATTTACTATGCTTTCATGGTTCAACATCCTGATTCGCCGGTTCATATCACGTGACCACAAGTGATCTCATCTCACGCAAACTACGCTACAAAAATCTAATTCTCTCAGTAATTATCTACATTAATTTCAAGTTAAATCTTAATTTGGAATACAAGTTTAAATGCAAGAATTACTTCAATTCGTACGAATAGCTTACTCAGAAATTATGTAAAACCGCAGTGCTTTACTTCACTAGTGCATTCTCAATTAGAATTGAATGTATTTAACGCTTGACTTTGCCTTTTTAATATTTTCGTCTTCGGGTGAGCGGGTAATTGCATCCTAATTGACTTAATTACCCACGAATGGCCTTAGGACATAAAATTGAACTATCTGGTAAAAATTTTACGTAATTGTGTGTCAATATTGAAAGAAACAATCAATCTGATAAGACGAAATGGCTGCGACTTGTTTTGAAAATGAAGCGTTAAAGGTTACCATCGAGGATATTCTGTTTGGCATCAGTTGTACCATTATTGGCGAGTTTATCGCTTGCGCCGGCAGAACGGAAAAGTACCAATAATTCAAAACAATGCAAAATATTACAACACAGAACATCAAAAAATACAATAAACAGGATTAAAATATTTGCAATTTCTTTAAAATAAGAGCATTTTATACCCATGATTTTAAGAATTTACATCTTTTTCATGAAAATATTCATTTGTTTTCAGATATTTTTTGTGCTCAGGAAGAAGGACCACATGATCACGAACCTTCACGTCATTCACCACGGCAGTCTTCCTCTTTGCGGATGGATGCTGTTCCGAACGGAAAGAAGTAAATATTCACCTACAACTAATTATACTAACTTTTATATCTTTATCTTTTAAACACCAAAGTTGATAAAGTTAAGCCATAATTTCCCAATGTTTGCATAATCGACCAGCGGTAGACACTGAGAAGGTCTATGGAGACGTCACTGGCCCTAGGAGTAGTAAAGGCTCGTTTCCACTACTGCGTACGAACGCGTTGCGTCAATTGAAGACACGCCTACGGCATCCGTACAAGCGTTTCCACTGCTGCGTATGCGTAAAATATTTTCATTTTCCGCCGCTAGGTGTCACTGTAATATTTTGGCGCAAGCAGTTCGCAAGTTACGACGCTGAACATCTGAATTTTTCCCGCTTAAGCGAGTATTGTTTGTTTTGGATTTGATATGGAATTTTAGATAAGTAAGGTTATAATGCATATTATGAACATCACGAATTCCATAGAAGCTGAACTAAATTTAAAAAAAAAAAATTGTGTTTCTAGAAGCCTTAAATATTATGAAATAATATATATATTATTAAAACTAAAATGTACTGTTAGTGAAAAAGTAAACAAATAAATAACATAAAATAAAAAAGTTAAAGGGATTAAAAAATAGTTGGTACTTTAAAAGTACAGAGCAACTGTAAGGAAAGGTTCACAATATTTATATAAATATTTATATAAATATATATATTCACAATATAAAATTTGCTATGCTTGTATACCGCTGACTTCAGGGTCATAGCTGGATAATTTATTAGAAATCTCGTTTGTTTTAAAATGCACTATGGGCAGTTATATTTTATACATAATCCATAAAATATTATTTTTAATTTAAACATTTTTAATTCATCTCTTTTATACAAGAAGTTATAAAAATAAGATTTTTCTCTTTATATATATACACATTAGGTAAAGAAAATGGAAATATTTAATTAATTAATTCCTGCGCTTCTGCAGGAGAGGACTGAATTTAAAAGCAATTATTATAGTAATTTTTTGTTAAAAAAATGTTTAGGGCATTAATACTGTCTCATGTTAATGGAATGAAAGTTTAGAGTCGTAAACATCCCAAAGTCTGAGCACATGTATATACATTCACATAAAAGTGAAACGAAATATATATATATATATCTGCAGGGTTTCAAAATAAATTAAATTTAAATAATTCTCTTGCGCCATTGCTGCAAGGAATGAAATTTGAATTTAACAAACATTTTCTATTCGTAAAAATTAAAAGTTAATTAAATTTAAATGAAATTTAATGCAAACAAATAAAGGATTAATTATTGCGCGAACTAATATACATATCATTTAAATTCTGAGAGCATATGTAAATCAAGTGCAAGTATCAAAATCATGAATAAATATATAATTCCAAAAATTTATTTATCCTATTATTCAGTTATGCATTTTTATAAGTTTTTTAGGATTAAATCTATCCTATTATTCACTTATGCATTTTTATAATTTTTTTAGGATTAATAATCTATCCCATTATTCACTTATGCATTTTTATAAATTTTTTAAGGATTAATAAATTTTTGGAATTATATATTTATTCATGGATTTTGATACTTGCACAGCAATAATTAATCATTTCTTTGTTTGCATTAAATTTCAACTTTAAATTTGCTTTTTACGAATAGAGAATGTTTGTTAAATTCAAATATATATGTACAGGATATGCTTTAAATTAGTATTATATAATTTTCAAACTTTTTTGCGGGAAAAATTTAAATAAATAAGAGCATAAATAAAACAATATATTTAATGCTTATAATAATAGAAAATAAATTATAAACACGAATATAGATCAAATTGGAATAAAAAGGTAAGAAAGTTGCAGACATGGTGCAAAAAGCGTATGGGATTCGAACTCACGACTCCAAAAGTGGACATCGTTACCATCAGCTTTACCACTAAGCTAGGATTACACGTAAGTCGCATGCATATTTTGGGTTATATACAGTATCAAGTAAATCAATTCTTAAAACTTAAGTTTTTTGGTCCTATTCACTTTGCTATTGTCTGAAAAATTCACCAGAGTTTGTTCTTCCGCTTCTAGTACATTTTTTGGAAAAATCATTATCTTTTAAAATGGCGTTCCGATTGAAGTTAACGGGCTGCTAAAAATATATTTCATGTGCTTACAAATATATGTTATCCAAAAGATATTTTATAAAGGGAAATACAAATTTAACATACTCTTCAATGAACTGGAGTATTTAAAAAGGCTATCAAATTTAATTTATAATTAACGTTTTTAGTTTTTACCTGTTTCAAAAAGAAAAAAATAGCAAATCTTTAATCATATCTAATTTGCTATAGCAGTTTGATATAGTCAGACATTCATTTTCATTAAAGCTAAATGAGTATGCAGAACTAAAAAATGATTTATCAGAACAAATTTTGCTATTTCATGGACTTGGAATGATAATTTTTGCCGCTGATTTCTTGAATGAACAAGTACTGTAGTTGCAGTTATCTTGTTTTTCTTATCATTTTAAACTAAATTCAGCTGATTGCTGTCATTTTCAGCACGCAGATTTCTCGCTATAATGTTAATTCAGAAATAAGTATTTTTTAGCAAAACATTCTTTCCCTATTAGCGAGCGTTCATCGCTACTTCTGCCGCCATTACTTTTTAGTCACTGCACCTGATTGCTCCTTTTTCACCACGTGACCCCAACGCAACCGCAGACATACGGATAGAAGTTGAACATTGTTGAACTCCATCCGTATGTCATCCGTCACCGCACACCGACCGGATTGCATATGTCAATCAAAGTGAATTCGCTCGCTGATTGGAGAAACGCATACGCACCGCAACGCATACGCAGTAGTGGAAACGGGCCTTAACTCGCTTGTAAAGACATTAGGTTATTTTGGGGGAAAGCAGGAGATGTGAACAATCTGCAATGCCTTCGCCGAGACTCGAACCTGGACCTCTCGAATACGCGCCGAGTGTGCTGAGGCGTCACCATCGAGATAGATAAGGCCTGCGCGCTGAGTTACTACGTCACTGCTAGGGGACCGGTCTTTGCGCAGTTTACCTTCCTTGCTAAACACCCGTTTTTCTAAACCTATTCTATGAAATTGGTATCTCATACTATAAAATCAGTCTAAAACAAAATTACAAGCGGCATATAAGTTTTTTACAAAGCTTATACGAATATGAAATATTTTCATTTTCTTTTGTTAGTATTTATTTCAAAACAAAAATTATTTGAGAATGGTGTGGTGCTTTTAAAAGCAAATCATTTCTTTGAAGAAAAATTGGTTTTAAAATTCAAGTAGCTAAAATTTTTACTTTGAATTTTCTGCACTGTCTTTGTGTCTCTCGTTGATTCTCATCACCGCATCAAATTTTTTGTTTTTACCCACTACTTTAACAAAATGTTTGCCAGTGGGAACACATGTTATCTCTCATTCTATAATTACTGCATATTTTTTATATCTATCATATTAATGTAGCAGGATTATAAAACATCAAACGAATGCAAGAGACTACTTAATATTTAGACTAACATTTAAATGCCTTATATCAGTCAGAAAATTTTTCTGAATTTAATAAATTACTAAATAGTCTAGTTTAAAAAATATTTCTTACTTACATATTGTATGTTAATTTGTATTACAGTTAATGTTTTCCTCTTAATGCTACATAATTATTCGACAGAATCTGTAGTTAAATTGAGATAATGTTTATTACATAGCTGTGAAGACTATCAATATTAAAACTCCAAATAAGACAGGAAAAAATGTTTTTGAAATAAAGTTATACACAATTTTTTTGAAAATATTTTAAAAATATACGAAATACTTAAAAAACTTTTAGAAACTGAAATTTCTTGCAAATATTTACATCATACCTATTTAACTATAAGCGTTACCTCTGTTCTGAAAATATTTTTTCTATTAATATCCACCTGAAAAGAAAATATAAATCCTAACATCATATTCAAAACTTTTCTGTATAATGTAAGCAATTTTTTTAACTTACATAGCTTTTGGTGGTGCCACGTACTCAAATTAAAGATTGTAATTTAAAAGATAATTAAAAAAAATTTTTAAATTGCATTGAATTGAAATACAATGAAAACATGTCTACATATGAATTCAATTACTACTGCTTCGTCAATAACTGTCCATTTTTAAAATTTAATTTTGCAGTTTCGCAATTTAATTACCTTAATATGAATCTTACATACATTACTTTAGAAACTTTTCTATCATTCTCAGAAAGGTTTGTATTGCATAACAAATTTTAAACAAACAGATTGCATGATAATAACATATATAAAAGTGAACAGAAGCTATGTTAGCTAAACATATGCATTTAAGTTTCATCATGATAAAATGATATTTAATGATTTGCAAAAAACATTGATATTTAAATTTAAGAACACAGTACTCTGTCAAGAATCAAATTTACTCTGCATTTGATATTCTACATATTATGTAATAAAATAAGTGTTATGCTTTTAACCCCTTAGGACAGTTATTAAATAATCATAAATTTTGCTGACAATTTTTATATTACTAGTGTTAGTAATTATTACAAGGGATGATGCTTCAGGTGTCAAAAGTAAACATAAATTCAATTCTTAAAACATAATGAATAAAAAATTACAACTTATAAAAGCCAACAAAAAGTTTGCTGAGGGTCCCTTAACCGTGACGTCACAAGCCAGTTTCGTTTCAGAGCGCAGGCCTTATCTATCTCGATGGTGACGGCTGAGGCATGCTGGAAGTAAGGAGAAAATAACTTATACCTATACACCAAGAAGCAAATGGGCAATGAGGACATGCTTGGAGAATTTAGTTGTTTAAACACCTTTGAAGCAAGCAGTTAAACTTATACTTGATTATACAATAGCGCGGTGCTACTTTGATAGACGGTTGCACGGATTTTGGCGATTTTTCTTTTGGCGAGTAATACGACTTATGGTAAACCCATTGCTCGATAAGTTATTTATGGTAACCGATACTTTGTTGTCGTTTTATTTAAAAAATAATGC